GTCACTGCACGGCGGAGAGCGTTTTTGGGCGGAAAATGTGGGGCACTCCCTGATATGCGCCACCACCTGCGGCTTGGGGTCTGGTGCGATGGGCATGAAGGCGCCCCTGGCAACAAACGCCGTTCACCACCAAAGCTCCGAGTACCCCGAGCGCCTGTGATTTCCGCCAGCAGTTCATGTTTGTGACTTTTGAAACGGACCCTTTGATGGGCATCCTATCCTCATGAGGAAATTGATGTCCAAACATCTCTCGGCTCTTGCAACTCTTCGAACCCTTGTCGCGACATCCCTTCGTCCGGCGCGATCGATTTGGCGCACCCGTGATGAATCTCACTGTGTCCAGCAGAACCACGAAGCGCCTCGGGCCGAAAAAAACAGGCGCCTCGCCTTTGCCGACCCAAGGTAGACTCAAACCCGGTGATATGGACATTACGAATTCGAGAGAAAGGCAAACGCTTGGATACCATGTGGCAATGAATCTGCCGAGAATGAGGCGTGGTTCGCCTCTATCAGGAATCCAATCGGTACCTGGAGAGTCGCGAGTATACATCGGGACCAAACAAAAAGCTGCAGGTTCCCCGCTTGCGGGGTGAAGGGGGGGGGGTCGGGTTCTCTCATTATCGACTTCTGAACGAAAAATGTAAAGAAAAAAAAGGAAGAAGAAAAAGACTATGGCGCACCAGAAGGCAAAGCATCAGCAGGCAACAACACAGCGGCAGCACCGACCTCGGCTCTGACAACAACCCGCGCTTCGGCACGCTGGATGCTGGGCGCAAGGCGACCAATCGAAAGATGCAGTGCCTGGAGCATGCGGAAGATCTGGGTCTAGGAAAGCCTTTGCCCTATCCCCCATGAGACCCCCTCTAGGTGAGTCCTTTTCCTTTTCCGTACCCTTTGTGCCCGGTTTTGAAGGGATCTCCGGAGACTCTTGCAGCCCTGGCACGGAACGTGGTCTTCCTGTGTGCCTGCAGCGCGTCACTCGCAGCCGACTTCGGCAAATGGGTCGATGCCGGGCTCCGCACAGTTCCTTCCACGGGCATCCTCAGAGTCGGGTTTTCCCCGTCGAGTTGCTCGACATCGACCAACAACGGCTTCACTCTTCCTATTCCAGGTGGGCTTTTGTGGGTGAAATGAATTTGTGGACTTGCTAACTTGCTAGATCCAGCTTGGAGGCCCGGGCACGACATCTCCCTCCCTGACCGGCGCATAGTCTCCTGCTCAAGGCCGCGCAAGGCTCGGGTTGGGCCATCCCCAAACGCTTCAGCTGCCAATGGACCTGCCACTTGCAACTTGACCCTTTCCACTTGCAGCCCTCACTCGCGCTCTCTCTCTCTCTCTCTGTTGAAAGCAAAACCGAAATCGAAATCCCCAGAATCCCCAGCGTCCTGACACCGTCCTGGGTGCACATTCAGCTCACTCGCTCTCTCTCTCCGCCTAATCTCGGTCGAGGCGCATCGTGCCAGCCCCCTCCGGACTTGAGAGCCAAGCTGACCGAGAAAGTGGCCAAATCACCAAATCCAAATCCACATGGACGGGCCTGGAGAACGTGGCAACGCAAACCAGCCTTTTCACGCCCTGAAACCGGCCATGGAGCTACCATCCTCAAACTCAACCCTTTCAGGTGGTAGCCATTGGAACCCTGGTAAAAGGTGGGAACGCCAAGAAGACAATCCGATCAGGCCCGCTGGCTCGCGCTTTTGCAGTCCACGGCCAATCGAGGCTGTCCAGGCTAACACGGCAACCATCTCAGCATTGCTTCAGGCTGTGGTGACCCCAACTGGCCACAATCTGAATATGCTGATGGCTGTGGGTCAAAAGTTACCCAAAATGCAACCTTGGTAAATGGAACCAAGGACTAAAACCTGCGTTCCCTTAGTGCTCTAATTTTAACGCATACCCAAATCAGGAATTATGACATTGGATAAGCCAAACAATAGCATTGACAGCCGTCTGCCTCAAGAAAGAAGTCGAAGCAATGACATTACACGATACAAGCAGTTCAAATATTTTCCATTCGCTAGTAAGAGAAGAGTCTCGTCAAGAGTAGTGTGTTTGTATTCTTTAAAACAAGGAAGCGTCATCCTCCTGATTGTCTGTGAGAAAACCATATTTCAACTTGTGGTATGTGAAAACATTCAATTATTAACATGGCCAAACAATGTCTCAAGTTGTCTTCTGCTCAATCCGAACTTCATGCTCAATGGATGCTGACGATCATCTATTCCATAACTTGAAAGGTGTGGTTGTTCCAATGATTCCTTCTGATTGTTTTAGCTTGGACTGTGTGACCTTGCTACCTTTCGAGTTTAGATGTTGTCAGGCAATGTATGCTTCACAGCGCAAAACTGATAGTTCCTATGTATATATATATATATGAATGCTTAAATAGTGTGCTTAAACTCATTCGTCCAATGCCTCAGTATATCTGGTCAGTTTTGATCATTGGGCTTACGATCGTAACATCTTGTAGGATTACAAGTGCCGTATCCTTGTTCGGTTTCCTTGACAACATCCTCTTTACCACTGTGCTTCGGGCTGCATTTAAGTATGAGGAACAAGGAATGGACACGCACTCAGCCATATCTTCACGAAGAACAAGATCAGTCGCTTCTGAAGGTGAGCTTCGAACACAACATGAGCATGGCGGTCGGTACTTGGAGATCGGTGTGCTTGACCTTAATTCGAATCATAGTTGGTTGCTAACAAAGTCAAAAAGACTACGAATGCAATTGCTTTTACTTGTTGTATCTCGTGAAATGTATCTGCGCCCCCGTCAAGATTTTTGGACGGCAGGCTTTGATTTCGCGACATCCCATCTAGAGATGCGGAACAAGAAAATATGTCCCTTGGTCATCCCTGACTATGCAATTTACGCTTAGGATTGCATAGCCATGGCTGAAACGATATATGCAGTTCTCACAACAGTGGCAGCAATAAGCCAATAAGCCTTTGAATGTGGTAGATAATATCGATCATGCATTTATTTGGCTCAGGATGGACCGCAAGTGCCAAAACCTCCAAAAGCATCTCCAGCGTGAGGGGGGATGCATTCATTCATGTGCAATACAGACTTCCCACAAACAAAAGTGATGAAAAGTGATGACAAAAGGTGAAGACGGGGGAAGTGATCGATGTAGTTCTCAAAGAAAAAAGAGAAAACAAATCCGTGGCCATGGTTGCTTCATCTTGGCGACGTACCAATGGCGATCTGAACTGTTTCAACAACAGAAAGACACGGCAACTACTGCGTTCCTAGTCTAGGTGCTTCTGAAGCTCGCCGAATGCCAGAGATCGGTTCCCTAAAGCTGCAATTCCGCGGCCTTGGACGAAGCCACACTCTGCCTCGCACGCGCGCGAAGAAATCAGAGAGGTAGGAGTCGACAGAGCTTGCTGGCTCACGCTAGGAGCTTGTCACTCTGAGTTGGGTGTGCAAATTTGGCCGACTCCTTGCCGAAATGGGGCCGAACGCTGAGAATGTGGGATTCCCCTCAGCATGGACAAGGTCAGCCACAAGGCAGGAACAAAACTCCACAGGGGCGCTCCATACTCTTCCCGACAAACCCCAACTGTCCAAACCCCACCGCCCTGGCCATTTTCACGGTGACCAACTGCCCCGAAAACCAACCCCAAACAACACCTTCGGCCAATCTTCAGACATCACCGCCAGGTGTCTTTGCCTTCCGCATTGCTGAAAATGGTCGCCATCCGAAACTTGCGAAGCGCCCCCGTTCGAATGTATCCCTAGCTGGGACCTCTTGTATCCCTGGCTGGGATCATGCTACCTCAGACCCGACGGCCCGATTCTCGAGCTGAGACTTGGCGCTCAGAAAATCGATCCACATCTTTCAACAGGCAAACGGCAGCAAGACGTGCAACACACCGTTTCGGTTCCGGAACCCCAACCAAGATCGCAACAGCCAAATTGAGTAGAGCAACAGGGAATCTCAATGCGCCCTTGGCTTGTCGCAACATGCTTGGCTGTCTGTTGCGCTCGAGGCGCAATGGCACTTGAATTTTTGGACCAGGTGTACGGATTTGTTGGGGCCAAAAGGAAGATCGGGATATCGAGGAGCTGGCCAGATTCAAAGCCAAAGCCTAAATTGACCCCGGAGAAATACATCCGTCCGAAACGTTCCCCATTCAAAGGGGACACTCTTCTGTGATCCAGGGGCTATTCTCTCCGGGGTTTGCCATGAGCTATGTGTCTCCAAGAGTTGAGAAGAGGGCCATGAACTTGCGATTTGCTCTGGCTCTGAACTGGAGCTGAATTAAGATACAACTTCTACGAATCCGAAGCGATGCTAGGGCTCAGCAAACTCACTCGCCAGCGAGGGAAGGGTCAAGCGCATGGTCCGCAGACCAGGAGTCTTGACCCGCCTCCTTCGAAAAACAACATAGAGGACATGGATACATATCACCAGAGCACAAAATCCATCGACTCTTGAATCTAGGACAGGCCTGACTAGAAATCAATGATACCAAGTAGAAGTCCCCCTTCTAAACTGGCCTTGTGGGGAGTTCTGGTTTTGGGCGCTGGGTTTCTTGCCTTTTGGCTGCGGGAATACATTGCTTTCCGGCGAGTGAACATTGCGGGGGTGACACGCGGCGCGTCGGGGTGGATGCCCAACGCACCTGGCGATGGCCGGGTGGCCGTCTTTAGGACTCGGCGGGTCCCAAAATGGCCTCGGCCGGTCGTTCCTTTTTGGCTTCCCTGTAAAACCGAAGCAAAAGTTCAGGCCTCAAAGAACAACACACCCATACTGTTGGACATCCTGGACGCAGCCCAATTTGAATACACGAGTTTGTGCTTCCACGGTAGTTTTCAGGAAATCCTATTCTAGGTACAGGTTCCAGCCTTGATCTGCCCAAGTCCTGTTCACCCCAACACAATCCATGGCAACTGAACAGGCATGCGCCCATGTGTCCCCAAGCCTGTTTGCACTTGCTCAGCTTAGGCAACAAGCGACACATTGTGACGCACCCAAAAACGCGCCTTGAAGCTAAAACGCCTCGATATCCAACACAGAAACCGGCCAGCAACGTTGCCACATCTCTCAAAGCCATTAAGCTTCGAGCCAACAATACCAGCCAGGCCGCTAGGCGGAGGTTTTCCCCTCGAAAACCAAATATCTCTCTCTCTCTCTCTCTCTTTCTCCCCTCACTGTGAGTGGCTCAAAAATCGAGAGAGCTGAACATCTACGACTTGTGTCTTTTCCATGAATCCATGGTTCATACCCTTTTCTGAGCCACGTGTGACACAAAATCAGCCCCGCGCTAAGGCCCTCTGGTGCCTCGGTCGCGGAAGAACGCGCGTGCACGAGATGCCGTTCCGGCGCCCTGAGGCGCAGGCTCCCTCTGTTCCTTCAAGGTCTTGCCTCTCCGAGCTTCCGAACCGGAAAAAAACGGAGAAAACACCGGCCACTGAAAAAGACGAACTGAAGAACATGGCCCGTGCTTCCCGGCCGCTGAAAAAGACAAAAGCACACCAAAAGGGGGGCATCCTCGAAGAAAATGACTGGCATGGTCAACTCTTTTCCGCTGGTTTCTTCAGAGAACCAACGGAAAAACCTCTGGGCGCCCTGCACTTCGAGCTCTGCCTGGCAATGCAAAGCCACCCATCGATGGCAACCCAAACTCAGCAACTCAGCGCCGGGCCCCCGAAGTCGCCTCAATCTCGGGTGAGCGCCAAAAACCGACAGAGTCACATCTCCACCACTTGTGGGTCAAAATGAATCCAGGAGACAGCAGCTTTTAATCCTGGGCTCCATTTGAGAGGGTTCCACTTTGGGTACCCTCGCTTCTTGCGAGGTTCACCACGCCCAACTTTTTCAGGTTTCCCCTTGTGCCGCTTTTCAGGCCACTTTGAATTCTCCAGTAAGTCTTTGGGGTTCCATAGTTCGTAGCCTCACGTTCGAGTGACATCCCCTTGCCTCGAAGCTAAGATCGGCGTCTTCCCTCGGCAAGCACTTCGCAGTTCCGTCTTCGAGGCTTGGGGTGGAGCTTGGAAAAGCAAAACCCCAAACTGACCACGGGCTAGCGGGTGTCCCACTTTCTTTTTAGGGCCTTTTACAGGGCCCAAAATGGACCCTGGGTGTCCTTTGGGTGTCCCGAAGGATATCCGACTTCTGATTATATCTAGGTCCTCCAGATGATAGAATAAGGGTATCCTTTCTTCTGTCCATTTTAGCCGTGGAACCCTCCCCCAACAAAGGGGTGAGAAAGGGCCAAGTGGGGACCTAGAAAAACAATCACCTGAAGATGCTAGTGCCAAAAAAAAACCGACCACGAGGCAAACGAAGCGCACACAAGCCGCGCCTGGGGCTGGCATCGAAATCCTTGAAGTCCTGGCGTCTTCAACCCATCGGCTTCCAAAAAGAATCCGCCCGAAAGATTGAATTGGTGGGGTGTTCGGAAGGACCGCCCTGTGGAGCCAAAAACTTCTTAGACTTCTTCTGGGGGTAGTATCAAAATATCTAGAGGTGTTTCGGGAAAAGCCGCCCTGTGGTGGAGCCCGATTTTATATATATATATATATATGTATGTATATATATTTTAATGCGAACCTCCTTCTTTGTGGGGTAGTACTGTCGTGCTTTGTGCTTTGTGGGGGTTGAGCTTTAAAACCGACCCTATGCATGGCCCGGCTCTGGGGATCGCTCGACTCAGCGCGCCGGGCCCGCGCAGTGGGACTCACCTCAGAGCAAAGGCTTCCAGGACATGAAGCCAATGGGCAATGGGAACCAATAGCACCGAACCCAGCCAAGCGCCATGTAAACAAGCATGGGAGGGAATCTAGAACCCGAGATGCACAGCACAGGCTGTGCAGAATCAATCCAAAGCAAAGGGGAGGCGTCATCATCGCGCTCTTCTTTTTCATATACGTTTCAAGTGTGCCATGGGGCATGATAACATCATCACATCATGCTGATGATAATCATCACTACGCATCCTCAGCATCACCAGCAGTTAACGTCATCACTATGCATCCCGCAGCAGTTATCATGACAGTCAGGACAACGCATCCTCTGCATTTCCAGTCGGGTCTACACCAGCAGTCAACGTCATCACTATGCATCCCCAGCATCAGCAGGAGTTATCATGACAATCATGACAACGCATCCTCTGCATTTCCAGTCGGGTCTAGCGGCACACTTGGAACGTATAGTGCCACGCTTTTGATGATGAGCATGATGAGGAACATGATGATGAACATGATGATGATGATGATGATGATGAACATGATGAACATGATGAACATGATGAACATGATGAACATGATGAACATGATGAACATGATGAACATGATGATGATGAATGATGATGATGATGAACATGATGATGATGAACATGATGATGATGATGATAATGATGAACATGATGATGATGATGATGATGAACATGATGAACATGATGAACATGATGATGATGATGATGATGATGAACATGATGATGATGATGAACAAGATGATGATGATGATGAACATGATGATGATGATGATGATGATGATGAACATGATGATGATGATGAACATGATGATGAAAATGATGATGATGATGAAAATGATGATGATGATGTGATGATGATGATGAACATGATGATGAACATGATGATGATGATGACGATGATGATGATGATGATCATCATCAGCATCATCATCATCATTTTCATCACCGTTTTCATGTTCATCATGTTCATCATATTCATCATGTTCATCATCATCATCATCATCATCACAAAATAACTGCTGGTGATGCCGGGGGTGCATGGTTCCATCACCATCAGGTGTTCCTACCGGCTTGCTTCTCGCGAAGACGAAGCGATGGCACAGAGTCCACACTTCGCATCCACAGCAACACATCGAAGTCTTGAGAACAACAAAGGCCCCCAACATGGTTTTCCTGCCCAAGTTTCCACACACCCGGGGCACTTCTTGTAAAATTCAACAAGGTGCTTATTATCATGCGAATTTATCTCGCTGTGGCTTGTTCGAGATGCAGGGAATGCGTTGTCATAATTATCAGAACAACTGGTGATGCCAAAAGTGCAAAGTAACAATAATCATCATAACTGCTGGCGATAATGCGAATGCATTCAGCATCATAGTAATAATTATCAGCATCCCCAATGTTAGGTAAAAAAAAAATGCATCATCAAAAACATCATCATTATCGTGCTGCTCTTCTTTTTCATATATGCTTTAAGAGTGCCGTTAAACCCGACAAAAAGTGCGTAGTCATAATTGTCATAACAACGTCCCCTGTCAGCAAGCAGGGGCCGGCGGCACAGGGCGGCAGCCCCTGAAATTTTACCAAACCTTTTTGCATGACATGAATATAGAAACTTCCTCCATCTAGCGTATGGTTGTCCCTCAACATTCTGTTCAGTGACTGCTTTACTCTCCTGGGTTTGGGTCGTGTGGAGGGGGGGTGATAACACAAGCCAGGCAACAAGACCACTATCGAAGACAAAAAAGAATCGCAAGACTTGCCTCTACGTGTGGTTGGCCATTTCTTACGCGGGGACATCTGGGAACCCAAATCCGGCTACGGTTCTCCACGCACTCGGTCCAGGTGCACAGGTTTGGCCGAGTGCAACTCCGATCTACGTTCATTTTGCCCACAGTCAGACATCCATGTCCAGCTCCATCTGGTCAGCGCCATTGCAAACAATCTGACAAACTACTTGCTGACATCGCGATTCATCAAAGGCCAAAGGCCAGTTGGAAATGCGTGTGTCTTTGTTTCAGGGCACCTTTGTTTGTTGGTTTTGAGGGACAACCAACGGGCCCCCCAAAAAAAACAAAAAAACTCTTCTCTCCGGGCGCCCGGCACTCTGCACACTCTACCTTGCGAGTGCGAAGGACCAACAGGTTTCCCTTTCTTTACCTCAAGGTAGACTTAAGCCCAGGAGTTGCAGGAGTCCTATGAGTCCCTCTTTTGCAAGAAATGGCTGTGGCTCAAAAACATGTACCAAAGTGGAACCCTTGGCAAATGGAACCAAAGAGACTAAAACCTGCGCAACCCTGGCTCTTTAATTTTGAGCCACACCCAAATCAACCTCCTCGGAGGTTAGGAGCCCGGAGGTATCTTCCCACGCAGTTTGTTTCAACCGGGGTTCAAATGTTCCAACCCCCCATCCAAATCACCAAAGAAGTCGGGATTCCCTGAACTTCAGGCTTAAGTCTCCCTGGGAAATTAGACAACAAAACGCCGTCTGATCAAAGACTTGCTGTGCAAGTCCGCGTCATTCAAACGGAGCCGCCGAGCTCCTCGCCGTTCCGAAGAACAGCAGCACCAGCGCAGTGAGCAACACGCAAACCTCGCAGCCAAGAAACTTCCAGCTTCAAGCTGTGCCGTGGTCAGACTCTCAACAGTCCTGGTGGCGAATGGTGACCCCATATTAATCAATCCCAGTTTATTCATAGGGTCCTCTATTATTTACCAAAAAAACATCTATATATATATATATATATATATATGGGGTCAACATCCTTACATTGAGCCACAATTCCCCAACGGCAGTCACCGCGAGATTAAACAATCGGAGACTTTGAGCATGCAGAATCTCGCCTGGGTATAGGCCTGCGTGCACACAGCTGCCTCAGTGCGACTCGCGCAACATTCGCTCGGACTCTGTCAGACCTCAGATCTCAGACCTCCATATGTATGGGTCTGTTTTTTTCAAAACCAACCAAAACGGGCCCCAAAAAAATGACGGACCCATATGTTAGTACAGATTCACGTCCATCAAGCACTTTTGAGGGTCCCAATTGGAAATCATCGACATCGCGCCTGACGCAGTCACTTTGGCTTTCAATGCTGAGGCGAGAGACACAGTATCTAACTGCCTTCATCACATCCTAGGCAAAGGCAAGGCTGGTTGGCCCTACATCAAAGTGACATTGTGTCAATGCAAAGACCAAGCACTCACAAAGCCGAGTGCACGAATACACGGGTGCGCATAACATGCAACTGCATTGAGCCCAAAAGCCAAGTGGGTATGTCTTGTTTGAGGGAGCCCTTGTTCTTGTGCCTAAGGCAAGAAGGAAACCCAGAAAATCCATTTAGGGGCCCAGAAAAGACACACCCACCTCAAACCGGTCCGTTCCGAGGCCCGAGCTCTGTCAACCTGAGGCCAACCCCCCCGGCCCATCGCTTGCGCCGATCGCCGGCCGGTCGCATCGATCCCGCCTCGCAAGCCGGTCGCCGCGGAGGCGGCATTGTTGACTCGGCACGGTGCACAGCCCGCAATGGCCAAGGTTTGAAGGGACTGGGCTCCCGCACACGTGGACTGCTCGGTTGATCCAGACTGCGCGCGCGTGGCCCGACTCCCCGACTCCCTGACTCCCTGACCCCTGACCCGAACCCGACACACAGCCCGGCTCACAATGGCCACGCGCTCGCGCCTGCGCATGAAGGACGTCATTTTCTCGCAAAGCACTTATGGAGTGATAGATTCGCTTCCATCTTGGCTGTTGAGCCAAGCGATCCAAGTCCGCACAACTCACGCCGCTCCAGCCTTGCAACTTCTCAACGCAGACTCGTTTTGTCCGTGCCTCTGAGCAACATGGTGTCCTCTATCTTCAGCTGTCTCCCTTGATTCGTCCCTAAACCCGTACTTGGCAACTCGACTCAGCTGTCTGGACACAATTGCGGGCATGTGTCTTTGTGATGAAGAGGTTGCCAGCATGTGTGACTGGGGTCACCGTGAGACCATGTGACCATGTGATCAGCATGGAAGCACCAAAAAAGCAAGTCTACATAACCGACCACACATTGAGTTCCCGGCAGCCCTGGACATTCAAACATCATCACAACGCTTCCGAAAGAACTGGCAAGACATGATGCACAAGCCCGTTCGAGGCGCGCCCGTCCGCTGGTTTTCCGGCTGCGAGGTTTGCGGCGCTCGCTGCCTCTGGCTCATTCTCTCGGTGCTTGCGGAGCACTTTGGCGGCAGCCGCCCGACAATACTCCGCCGCGTCGGAAGACGCCTCTGGCGCCTGGCGCAAGGCCGCCACTAGGCTTCGTGAGTTCTAAACAAAGGCGCGGGGCGCCCAAGCATATGTGTTTGTTCTCAAGAGCCTCATTTTCCAGAACTTCTCCATGCCAAAACCCTCCCTCCCTCCTTTTGCGCCCTCTTTGTCGGTTTGCACCTCCCTTCCCTTCAGTTCCCCTCCTCCGCCAGCAGCTGCAAGGCCTGCAGCGCCGGCTTCGCCAGCTCCAAGTGCCCCAGCGCCTCCACCGCCGCCGCCGCCGCCGCGCACTGCGACTCTTCGCCGCCCAGCGCCAGCGCTTGGCGCCGCACCAGGGCCACCAGCGCGTCCACCGCCGGCGCCTTCGGCGGGTGGCTCGTCGAATTGGAGCGCCAAAAAAATGCCACGTGGACCACGTGGACCACGTGGATCATGCGGATGCCCTCGTGCAACTCTTTGTGTCCCTCGTGGTTTCACAGAACTGTTCATCCTGTGCAACCAGTTCTGTGCAACTCTTTTTCTCTTGGGAGACCTGCTTTCCCCCATTGCCCGACATCGGGCTGGTTCGAGTGCTGGTTCTTCTTGCCAAATGCAGCTCAGCAGCAACCAGTCGCGGATCCCCTGGCGGCGGAAAGAAAATCGGCCGTCCCAAGCGGCCGTCAACTTTGAAATGCCGTCTCAAGCCTCAAACCTGGAAAAAGGTTGTCAAGTCAGCTGCAAAGCTTTGCAAAAGCCAGGCCACCCAATGTTTTTCTCCTCCAGTTGCAAAATCTGCTGGTGTGTTCAGTTAAAACGATCGCCTTTTGGAGCTGTCCAAAAAGGAACTGGAGCAGACCCTGTGAAGTTTAGTTTGTCAAACATTGGTCAAGTTCTTGGCCACTTCATTTTGCACTACTTTTCACTTCCTTGTCACTGTCACCAAAAACTCGCTAAACATCCCTAATTTGTTCCTCAGTCTTCACTCACTCGCCACCGAGAATTCCCTGGGTGTGTCACCCGGGCCATGGGCCGTCGGCCGCTTCCTTCGGCGGACCCCGCACCTTGCGCCAGGTGGCACAGCGCCAGGGCGGCCCAGCGCGCCGCCTGGGGCAGCAGCAGAGCGCGCGCCAGGTCCGGCACGGCGCCCAGATCTCGCGAAGGAGCGAAGGAAGCGACGGGCCCAGCGGGTTTTTGTGGGCTTTGAGGGGAAAGGAGCGCAGAAAAAACAGCGAGTTAGGGAAGTGGGCCCTACCCCTGTCTTGGCGAGTTTCGGGAAAGCAGCAGGAAAACCGAAGTCCGCTTTAGGACCGAAGGGTGCGAACTCACTCCGGACCCGGCCGGAGTGGCCGTGAAAGAAGTTCGCGGGGCCGCCGAACAGCTCTGACCGCAACTAACTCAATGGCCATGTGCGGAGAACTTCAGAGCCTCAGAGCCTCACAAAAGGACACAAAGAACAAAAACACGTCATGTCCACCAAACCCTCCCCCGGGAAAAATTAGGATGGCACGCCAGAACTGTTCACCTCTCCAGAAAACAAAAACTGTTCGACCCTTTTGGCTCCGACCCTTCGCCTGCGATTTGGGAACGCAGCGCGGGCACCGCCGCCAGCGCTGCCAGCGCCTTAGCGCCCACCTCCGCGCCGCGCTCGTCGCCTCCCCGCAGCAGCGCCGCGGCGGGGTGCGCGAAGGGGGCGCCTTCGGCGGCGGCGAGGCGCGGGAAGGCGAAGAGCAGCGCCGCCTAAAGGCGCGAGGCGATGAGCAGCTTGGCGAGACGGGGGGAGACAAAAGGCGAAGTGCGGGAAAGGAGCCTCACAGCGCACGGAACAAAGCACAAGCGCACCGTTTTGCGTGACTCTTTCTTCATAAAAATGGGTGGTTGGGAGAATCCAGGAGCTTCCACCAACACTGTGTTCAGAAAAACCGCCTTAAACAGCAGCCACAACGTCAAAAAATGTCCGAGCGGCCAGCAGCGCACCGGCGCTGAGGCGGGCGTCCGCTTCCACCCGAGTGTCTCGCAGAACCTCGGTGGTTCGGAACCCGGTGGCTTGGTGGTGATCAGAACCAGGCCAAAAACCAATCCTAACCACCTGAGGGTTACCTGAACCCAAGACCTCAAGTTGAAACAAAACAAAGGGACCCTGAGAGCCGTGCTTCAGCCAGCATCTGCGCAATGCCGGGCTGGGAGACACACTCCTTGCCTTGGAGCAGACTGTCAGGATGTTCAAACATGTTTGAACCAACTTGCTGGTGCTCAGTAGGGCATGACCCGGCGTTTTGGGAAGGAACCTAGGGATTCCCCTCAAAGGAAACCATTGGGGATGGTTTATATTTCTTTTTATATGACTCCCTGCGCTGCGAAACAGCAAGCCAATATTGAACTATCCAAAGAGTCATTCATCAAAGCCTGGTATCAACTGAGATCACCCAGCACCGCAGGATTCGCATCCCCGCAACAATTTGGTTTAGAACGTGCCCTCAACTTTCAGGGCGATTCATTCGCCTTGTGGATTTTTTTTGAACCAGAAAAACAAAACACAAAAGAAACCAAAGCGCCTTTGTGCTTTTACCCCAGGCTTCACCTCCAAGAACCCTACCACCTCCCTCTGCCTCCTTTCCCGGACCGACCGGACCCTGGGGACTGGGGGCTCCGGGCGCGCCATGGGCCCCAGCGCCTGCAGCAGCTGCACCGCCGCGCCTTTGGCGCCCGCCGCGCCGCGGAGCATCGCCGCGCCGCGCGCCACGGCCTCGGGCACGCGCCACGGCGCCGAAAGTGGGGCGGCCGCTCGGCATTCCCCGCTCCTTTGGTTGTTGTCGTTTTTGTTTGGTGTTTTAGTTTTATTGTTTTTGCATTGTTGTTGTTTTTCTTTTCTTTTCTGCTTTTTTGTTGGGGGGGGGGGGGGGGTGGGGAGGTTGTTGCTTTTTTTGCCCCCCAAGCATCAAGCAGGAAAATAGGGGGTTCTTTGCTTTTTGTTTGGTGGTTTTGTGTTCCTTCCGTGGCTTCCCGATCAACAAGGATAGGAAATCACAAGAGGAAGCTCACCTATCAGCCCATCTGCTGTCATCAAGAAGCTGTTCAAAGAAGAGAGGGGTTTCATCCGTTGTGAGAAACCCAATGGTTGGGCTCCAGACTTCAAACACATTACCCCAAAACTCACCCCAAGCCTAGGGGTTTGGCCCTCCTAGCAACCCACAAGGGGTCCAACCATTTTGAGACACCTGGGCCTTTCAGGGCTGACTTCTCCGGTCTCTCCTTCACCCGATCGGAAAGTCGGAAAAAGCCACCTGGCTCGTAGGGATTTGCTCCGACCATGGTCTTCCTTTCCGCTTTCCTGAAAACCAAGCCGCAGAGGGGACCCTCAAACAACACACGCACAGTCACGGTGTCCACATATGTGATGTGCGTTAAATTGCATGATTTAAAGATTTGGATTCAACTCATGTGTGAATCATATTTGAGATTTGGGCTAGATTGCATGATTCACCCAGATAAACCGAGGTGTCTTTGGCCTCCGAGCCCTTTGAGGTGTCAAAACTGGAAAAAGTTTGGCGGGGTATCTTCCCAGAAAGGTCGCCAAGCACATGAGCACCAAAAAAAATTATCGAGTCACGCAAAATCCCATGACACCATCAAACTTTGTCCCTTTCGCTGACCAACAAAAGGCAACACCCCCAGTCCATCAACACCCCCCCAGTCCATCAACACCTCCCACCCCCCCCCCCCCCCCCCCCACCAAAAAAAAACATGCAAAAACACACACAGCCACACACACACACACACACCCCTCCAGTGTTGGAGTCATGTTTTTAGTTCCACCTCCCTATTTCGTGTGTTTGGCCGGAGAACCCCAGCGTCCAGGATGAACTTCTGCTGGCTCTCGATCTCCGCAATCCCGGCAAGCCGGCGGCAGGCCGCCGTCCTCGCCGGTCACTGTGACATCGCTGGGCTTTTTCTGCGGTTGAATTAATACTAATAATAATAACAATAACAATAACAATAATTATATATATATAAACAGTTGGATGGTTTTCTAGGGTCCTTCCACTTCTCATTCCGATTCCCAACAAGTTGTTCCCTCCAGTCCTTCTTGGTTCTGTTTGCGGCGTTGTGAAATCGCTGAACGAGACTAGGTTCTCTCGCCCGGAAGAATGGGAATCCTTTTGCTTTCCAACCAACCAAAGGGATCCAACCAAAAGGCACAAGCTGCGTGCAAATGCGCTGTGCTTGGTGATTTGTGATGACACTCGGCGAATCGGCGGCCTGTTCTTGCATTGACGCCTCGTTTACCCTGCCGTGCAGCAGTGCAGGCTTTGCTAGATCTGAACCGGCCGGGCCCCTGAAAGGATGCCTTTCGGCGTACAAATCCCTTCCACACATACCCAGTTGGACACGGTCAAAACACTTCCGCTTGAAAGTTCCTTTTCCACCTAGTCCTTGCGGAAGCATCCGCCAGTATGCCAAGAAACTGGATCGCGCGGCCCGGAAACCACCTTGCGACCCTCGGTCACCAGGCGAATCCCCTTCCAAAGAGTGTCAACGACATTTAACGGACTGTAGTAATATGTTGAAAACTTATGTGTCTCTCGGAGCCCCAAAAAATGGCCACCCGATCGAGCCTCTGCATAAACTACACCAATCTAGTTCCGTAAGAAACAAATCAGACCGGGCTGTTCTTAAACATTCCGATCGACTGTTCTTTGAAAGAAACAGCTAACCCCAAACCCAGAACCCTTCCGCCCTGTTGCTTTCCCTTTGGAAAATCAAACCGAACGCGAAAACTACGGGGACACTTCTCATCCCCCTTCGGTTCCCCCATTTTAGGGCGGGAACCCCCATTTTAACCCGGAACCCAGCCAGGACATGCGGTCCGATTGCTGCAACTGGAGGTGTCCTTTTCGTTTCCAGAAGAAAAACACTGCAACCAAAGTGGAGTCATCTTGCGAAACTAGAGATTAGGCTCAGAAACTTAAACTCTCCGGAACTTGCTTCCTTGTTTCAACGCAGCTTCCATCCAGTCTTAGAGCTTCATCCTTTCCTTACGCCAATCTCTCGCCGTGTCCCGCCTGGATCGCACCTCTGCCATGGCCTCACGGGTCGAATGGGAACCCATGGCGTGATGTGCAGAATGGGGCTTATGGCTGTTTTGTTCTTCTTCTTTTTTGGTTGTCTTTCTTTTTTTGTGGGGGGGTCCCATCTTCTCTTTTTTTGGCCGAGGGAATCATTTTTTGGCTGAGGGAAGCTGGAATTATGCCTGATCAGTCCCTTTTTGTGCAGCGGAAACTGGTAGTATGCCCTCTGAATCTGCAAGGTTGATTCATCTGGGATTGACCTGACGATCTCGCCCACCCATGAGCACTCCACCTGGATGAGCTTGTCAATGTCTGGATGCTTCACTGATGCGTCCTGGCAACACAGAACGTCACCAACACTGCACATCTGAACCTGTATATGTTTTGAGGGTACCCTGTTTGGGTTTGCTTCAAAGGAACCCAACAGCCCCTTTTTGACACATCGTCTTAGATTTTCACCCCGTCCTCGGAGGACAGCCTTTGCTTCTTGACAGCCGGCACTGCCATGGGGACGACTTGACATCGCAAACTGGTGCCCCCTCCAACACTTCAGATTCCCTGTTCAGATGGACCAAACAAAAGGGGGGTCGTCGCTGCTTCACTGCGCTTCAAGGTGCAATTGCAGTCCCTCCAACTCGGATATTGTCGCAAATTGCCCCAAGGCAAGTCGAGCTGTCTCGTCAAAACAACGGTGTGCGTAGGATGGATCCGAATTTGGGCTCGGGCATCGTTGGTTGGGATGATCTTTGTCAACCTAGCCTTGAGCAACAGCAAGAACGCGCGCATGCCAAGTGTGCGGCAAACTTATCGTGTGAAAAGTGCAAATCAAGACAAACAGCAAGCCTGCGCATGTCAACAGCGCGCCTGGGCTGAGCCACCCAAAAAAAGGCGACAACACTTGGCCCCCACTTCAGGGGTCCCACTCTAAAGTCGCCAGCTCGGTCTGAAAGGCAGATGCTTTGCGCGGCATTTCAAAAGGTCCGCGCAAAGCTCGGGGAAGGCCCTCACACGAGAAGCTCTCAGAGGCTTTCCTTTGCCCAAACTTCAGCTTTCCCCGAGCCGATTGGCAACCTGTCAGCACGCCTTGAAGCACGAGCTCCGCAAGAAAGCGGCTATACAGTACTCTTACAGGTCGGCCTGTGCATCGAGGCTCTCCTGACAAAGGCTCTGCGACCACGTCTCGCGGCACACAGCACGGCTATTTCTAAGAGATACCGCGTCCACTTGTCAGCCTGAGTGCGTCTGGATTCAACCACGCTGAATCGTACAAGACAAATTCGCTGCACACATGCACACCAGCAAGAATCTGGCGACAAATCAGCCGAGGGAGGCTTCCCAGTCACGGATGGATTCGCTGCATGGAACGATTCACCCGGCCCTAAAGCTGAGCAAGTGCTTGTTCGATGTCGTGCCAAATATCTTCTACGTCCTCGATTCCAACACTGATGCGGACAAATCCCGGAACCACGCCTGCGGCGGTTCGCACTGGTTCTGGAATGAACCTGTGACTGGAGTTGAAGGGGCACTCAATGAGACTCTCTACCCCACCCAAACTGGTCGCCTCAAAAATGAGCTGGAGGTTACGCATGAAGCGGACGGCTGCAGCGTCACCTCCCTCCACCACGAAGGCCAACATCCCCGTGCCCTTGGGCATGATGCGTTTGCCCAGCTCGTGGTCCGGATGGCTGGGCAAGGAGGGGTGGATGGTCTTCTCAATCTGGGGGTGGGCGTCCAAGCGCCTGGCGATCTCAGCGGCATTCCGGCAATGGATGGGCATCCTGGCGCTCAAAGTCCGCATGCCACGCTCCAGCAGGTAGCAGGCGTGTGGATCGGGCGCACCTCCGAAGTGGATCTTCTTTGTAAAGATCTCTGCTATCAGGTCCTTCCGCCCGACCACCGCGCCGCCCACGATGTCGCTATGCCCGCTGAGATATTTGGTCGTGGAATGAATGACGATATCACAACCCAGTGCTATGGGTTGGCAACCCCATGGAGAGGTGAATGTATTGTCAATGACAAGCAAGAGATGGTGTCTTTTCGCAATTGCCGCCATCGCTGCAATGTCGCAGACCTTGAGGACTGGGTTCGACAACGTCTCGATGTAGATCATCTTCGTGTTGCCTTGAATGGCGGCCTCATAGGAGGCTGTGTCCTGCATGTTGGCCATGGTGACATGGATGCCGAACCGAGGCAACTCTTCTGTCATCAGTCCATAGGTTCCCCCATACACGTCAGCACTGGCAACCATGTGATCTCCGTTGGAAAGAAGGCCAAGCATGACCGTCGAAATCGCGGCCATGCCACTGGCAAAGAGCTCTCCATCCTCTGCCCCTTCAAGGGCGCAAATCTTCTCCACACACGCTTCTGAATTGACGCTGGACAATCGAGAATATATCAGTGTGTGTTGGGCGCCGCCCGCCCAACCTGCATAGCGGTCATCACTCAAACGATAGGTTGATGATTGGAAAATCGGGGTGTTCACGGCGCCCTGGATGTGCTTGGTTCCCGAATGAACTGCGCGAGTGGCAAATCGCCTCTCCAACTTGTCGCCCATAAGCGATCTTTCGGCCCCAAATGATTGAACTTTGCTATGAGCCAACAGCTGAATGGCATTTGTTCATGACGCCCAAAGATCTACTTTTAGCCCTTGCATACTCAAACGAGGAAAAAACGCGCCAAGCAAGACCAAGAAACACTTCACCCTGCTGTCCAGCGGTGCAACTTTGCTTAGGTGGCAACGGAACTAGACCGATTTTGACGGGTTAATTGTATATACAACCGAAACCATCTTTTCCATTAGGGCCTGTAAAAATGCACCACTAGCACAGCGATATCATGGCACTGCGCAGCTGTCTTGCTTCTACCCTTGTGGAAAAATCAATCGGAACCAACGTTGTTGTACCTCGAAGCCACCGTCTGTGAAGTCGGCCTTCGATGCACGACGCGAACAAAAGCTGACAAATACCACAGCCCCAATGGCGGCAAAGCATGACTGAAAAGAGGTCCCAAACAAGGACAGTCAAGACCTGCTTTTGGGCTCCGAGCGGGTTCTAAGCTTGCTTACATGCCCCGCAACCTGCTCGACCACCATCCTAGTTTCAGCAGCATTGCTCGCAGCTCAGGCTTCCTGAGCGAAATGTCTTGCTTCCCATGGCAAAGCGAATGTGAAGCATCAATGTCTTAATTCCTTGCCCTGCCTTTACTGTTAGCTGATAAGGCTGTGGACAAAACCTTGTTACAGCGCAGAAACGTAAAATACCACGTTGGCTGCCGTCTTTGTCAGGGTGCAGTGGAAAGCTGGGCACGCCAGAAATATGGTTCTATTGACCAAAACGGGTTCCCAATGCTCACGGCTCGCCTTTGTGCGTAACAGAAACACATTTTGCTCACGCGGTTTTTTGTCCATCAAATCCGAACTAACAGTTGGGTGTCTCTTTGGGTGTCCCCATAAGTTTATGGAAACACCCAAAGTAGATGTCATGTTTCCATTGCAAATGCAAAAAGAAACTTGCGAATACCCAGCATTTGTTTGGCAGACTGCAGAAGAACACCTGCACCTGTGCTGGGCGGGTATGCGGCTCTAGGTACAATGGCGTTTGTTGCCATCGAATACAAACAGCTTAAGACACAAGCAAGCCGCAACCACCCTTCCTTACAGAACGGCAGTTGGCACAATGGACATCACAGTATGCAGATAAGACCACGAGCTTGCTCCGCGCTTTGTTGGGGCCTGCACAAAAGAACATCAAACTTACTGCGTTACGCATCCCTCAGGATAGAATCCTGTTCACTGCTTCAAGCCCAGAGGGAACATGCCATGAAAAAGGAAGCCCGACCGACTCAGCTCCTTTTTTACGTTCAGGTTCAGGGGTGCAGGAGGAGTGACAACGTGCGTCCACTCCCTATCCCCGCAACCCCATGCGGAGCCTGCACAGATGCCCCCAAGGTCAACAATGCGTGTTCGACCTTCACACAAGGTGTATTACCAATGGGGTGTGAGACAAACAGGAAGCACAAGTGTTTCTTGTTGTGCATCCTGTGTGCGGCACAGAGGAATGCGTCCTCTGCTGATTGGACCAACGATGGATTCTCTGCTGATGGGACCGTTGATAGGTCCTGGATGCAATGCGTGCATCTCCAAAGTAACACGTACTCTGCTGCGGTCAGAATAAGGCGTGGTCTGTGGATCTTAGTAGCGGCCAAATGAAAGCAAGGTTCACTGACCTAGACAAGAATGCGTGCGCTAGCAAATTGGCGGTGCGGCAAAGCAAGGCTGCAGGCCTGGGCGTCTGAGGTTCCCACCTGGGAAATGACAGGGTGGGTGGGTGGGCGAAAAAAGAGGGGTCAAACCCTCAAAGCAAGGCTTGAAGCATAAACGGCAACGCGGCTGAAGATTCGAACAGGATTAAAACACGGGGGGAAGGAAAAACCTCAAGCGTTGGCCCAAAGGGAACATGCCATGAAAAAGGAAGCACAACCAACCCAAGCTCCTTTTTTACCAGTGTTGCGGAGCCTGCACAGATGCCCCCAGTTTAGGGTTCTGAGCAAACGGCCCAACCGCTCGCCCCCTCTTCAGTGCCGTTGCGAAGCGTCTCTATGCTCTGGCCGCCTGCCGAGAGCGCAACTTCACGTTTCCAGGCAAACTCAGAATCGACCACACCTGCAGCGCGCAATCGTCAACGTATCCTTCAAATCCAACCAAACAAGGGATTTGGTGTAGGTCACAGAAGACAAGACAAAGACAGAAAGGTCCGACCGAGAGGGAGTTTCCCAAACGGATTCTATTGCGCCTGGTAGGCTCCTGACACTCGTCCGTCCAGGAAACGACCTCGTCCTGCGAAGGATTCGAAATCTAAAATGCTGCGCGCAGGCGTGTGGCTGCAACAAAACGACCCCTAGATATGTGCCGCAATTTGCCTCCGGGTTGCATTTCAAGCAAGCCAACCTTTGCAGGGCTAAGAAAAAAAAAAGAAAAAAGGGGTCCTCCAAACAAGGGGTCCCGAAACAAAAAGGAAAAGGGGTTTCCTTTGGCAAAGCTTGACCTTGCTTGGCATGCAACCTGATTGCGGCGCGTATCTAGGGGTCGTTTTGTTGCAGCCACACGCCTGCACGCAGCATTTTAGATTTCGAATCCTTTGCAGGACGAGGTCGTTTCCTGGACGGACGAGTGTCAGGAGCCTACCAGGTGCAATATGGGAAACTCCCTCTGAAGAGAGAGGTTCCCTCGGCTCGCCGGAAACGTCGCTCGGGCCCGCCGCCTTTTTCCCGAAAGCATCGCGAAGGGTTGTTCCGTGCGGAGCCCTTGGACAAGTTACATAGAGCCAAGTTACATAAAGCCAAGTTACATAGAGCCAAGTTACATAGAGCCAAGTTACATAGAGCCAAGTTACATAGAGCCAAGTTACATAGAGCCAAGTTACATAGAGCCAAGTTACATAGAGCCAAGTTACATAGAGCCAAGTTACATAGAGCCAAGTTACATAGAGCCAAGTTACATAGAGCCAAGTACATAGAGCCAAGTTACATAGAGCCAAGTTACATAGAGCCAAGTTACATAGAGCCAAGTTACATAGAGCCAAGTTACATAGAGCCAAGTTACATAGAGCCAAGTTACATAGAGCCAAGTTACATAGAGCCAAGTTACATAGAGCCAAGTTACATAGAGCCAAGTTACATAGAGCCAAGTTACATAGAGCCAAGTTACATAGAGCCAAGTTACATAGAGCCAAGTTACATAGACCCAAGTTACATAGACCCAAGTTACATAGAGCCAAGTTACATAGAGCCAAGTTACATAGAGCCAAGTTACATAGAGCCAAGTTACATAGAGCCAAGTTACATAGAGTCAAGTTACATAGAGCCAAGTTACATAGAGCCAAGTTACATAGAGCCAAGTTACATAGAGCCAGTTACATAGAGCCAAGTTACATAGAGCCAAGTTACATAGAGCCAAGTTACATAGAGCCAAGGTTAGGTAGAGCTTAGAGCTTCGGCGTTAGCAGCTATGTAGGTTAGTTTAGGTTTCTAAGGCGCCGGGGGCGGGAGTTTGATCGTCGCTCGGGATTGCGACCCTCTGCGGAGATTCGCG